TAGGTTTTAAAATGTAAACATGAGCATATTGTGCTAACAAACAGTTTTAAAAGTTTTGAACTTCTGAGAACAAACCACCAGTTAGTTTCAAAACCATTTAATCAAAAGAACTATTCAATATTCCAACTGTCAAGGTTGCAGAGGAACATGAACTGTTGCTCCCTCCTTGCAGTTCCTCCAACCTTTTGAGGTTGAGGTAGCTTCTTCAGCACATCACTCCGTGGGAAAGATTCCTCATCGTTTTCCTTAAATGGGTTTCTTACTGCCAGTGATCCCTCGGATTCTTTTCAGAAATCTGGCACTCACTTCGTTGCCTGCAAGGCTGTCAACCAAGCCAATGTAATGGTGGCTTCTGCATTTGGATGCAAATTTTACGATGACAAAGTCACCAACTACCAGATCTGAGACATCTGGTTCACTTCTTTCATCGCTGGATCTCTCGTGCTCAGAAGTGTCTTCAAATGGGATGGCAACATCACTCTCCTCAGAGCTGATTTCTACTGCGATTTAAATTGGTCTATGCCAACCTACTGAGTTATGTTGTTTCTTGCACTTCCTACCGATTGCCAATTCTAATGACAGTTCCCGGCATTTCTTTGGTGTAAGGCCATGGAACTGGTCTGCGAGCTGCTTGATATGGTCTTCTAGCTCCTTCTCCATCTCCTCTGAAAATACTCTCCTTGCTTCTGCTGTTCCACTGTACCCTGCTGCTTTTACTTGCTTCACCTCCCTCTTCTTTATGAATCTCCTCAATATTGACCTGTCATTATTTCTCTCTTTTTTCACTGATCTGATGGACTTTCCAGCCTTGACATCACTGGCTGCTCTTTCCGGCGCTTCAAGGGGTGTTGAGCCCCAGTTTGTTTTTCTCTTGTAGGTTCTTGGCATGATCCCTGTTCTACAATGGTAAACATTTGACAAACCAGTTGAGTATACTCAAAGAAATACTATTTTATACGTCTGAGAGTGCTTGCCTTGTGGTGGGGTAAGTTGAACCATTGGCTCAATTTACCCCATAGCCTTTGGCTCACTTTGCCCCATAGCCACCATTTTGGAAAAGATGGGCTAGCTTAGAAATTCAGGCTAATCTTTAGTGAAGTGATTCACATGATTTTATACGTAAGAAAATCACCAAAAAGTATAATATATTATTTTAGACCCAGATAAATTTGCTTTGATATAA